ACAATTACTGCACAATTACTTCAGATTTAAGATAGCTGTATTTTTATGGACGTTATCTACATTTAACCTGACATCAAAAATATCTGCAGTATCTGAAATATGTTCATTTTAAGCCGGCGGAATACCTCTAAAGCAACACTGAATGGCTGTAAAGATTGCTTTATATCATTACATTAAAAAGCTGTTGAAACATGCTAACAGTCATGTTAGCTACATCATTAAGTTCAAATAAAAACACCTAAAATGGAAAATGCTTGGTGTCTTAAACACAGAAGAATATTCACAGGATTTTTCTGCATATAACAGTACAGTTTTTAAATCATACTTGCTTCTAATCTGCAGGCATGTATCCTACCCCAAACTAAATCAAAACTTAGGGTATCGCAAAGGGAACCTGCCATGAAGCTCATGTTTTTAAAGTATTTTTTACAAAAAGTCTGAAATTTTATTCTGAAAAATGCAATTAGACAACTATGATGGGTTACTACGATGGCTCTTCTCTGCATGGGCCACATGGTATACCTGCTGCTCCTGCTGCTTACCAGCCTCAGCACTCGCACAGCTCAGTGAAGCCATTACTCACTCACAGTAGCTGAAAGATCACTCGCTACAGAACAGAAGCTGAATCAACTCAGTGGAATACATAGAGACAGGATGCAGAGSAAGAGGGGAGCTACAAAACGGCACAGCCAGGAAGGGAGCAGGGGAATGCCTGGTAGTGGAGGGAAGGGTCTTTCCAACAGGCTGCAGCACAGCTGCAGTGACTGRTGTCTCACAGCCCACCGAATGCATCCCTTCAAGGACACCACARCCGAGTGACCTCAATACACAAACTGCCACCCAAACAACACCTTCAATTCTGCTTCTGCTGGAAACTTCCATCTACATTTGGTTATTACACACGGTTTACTGAATAAGAGCATGGCACCTCACAAACTACTCAATGAATAATTGCAGACTACAAGGTGTGACAAACCACATACTTCAAACTGAAATCTAGCCTCTGCTTGTCATAGAACATCTCCGTATTATTTTACTATTGAAAAGGACATAATCTTCCACTGCTGCAATCCACATCCTCTCTTAATCAAAAATAATCATTTAAACATGTGGTTGATGCAGAGCACAAATTATCCCCCAGGTAATGTGGAGGAAAAAAAAAGATTTCTAGGAAAATGACATTAAATTACTAAGGCATTTCAGTTTAGTAGAACACTTACTAAAAAGCCTTAGTATGTTAAAAGCTAAGCTGGCTAGTAAGCTTACAGAAAAGATCACAAAGTATAGGAAAAATGGTTGTAATCATATTAATAATGTTACAGATGAAGTCAGATTAAGTAATAAACTTACTCGAATATGCAACTCTTATCTGTGTGTCTGTCATGGGTTTCTGTGACCTACAGTTATCTGAGTAAACATTTTGGCAATGACAGYTCTGACTGATCAATACATCTCCTCCCATTCCTAACTCCACTGCAAGAGTTAGGATAGCAGACACACAAATAGCAAGAAATTTTTTTAGCTTTTCATACCTACAGGATTTACTTACTTTGTACTAAATACTCTTGCAACAGCCAAATGGGGATTTTACCTATCTTATATTAAAAAGCTTTCCTGCATAAACTCAAAAACACTAGATAAAAGAATGATGACGGAAGAGTAGATGTTAAAAATGCTGTGAAAAATGCTCTCTGTAATAGATATGAAACATGTTGTTCAATAAACATCCTAAGAGAATGCACCGGTAAACACATTTGTAATACTGCAAAATTGATGCATGTTATACATTTACTTAYATTTAATATATTTATATATTTAATGCATAGGTATATTTAATATATAAATAGTCTCTGTCCCTTTTCTTAGAAAGAATCCTACTCATTAATTTAAGGTAATGAATGTATCATTTATAAAACATTAGCACTAAATAAAATGGGTGAGCTAAATCTGGCCAAAATAGATGAAGCTGTGTTTTTCTAAAGTAGCTCAGTACTTTAATAATTACTAGGAGTTTCACCAATTTTTTTGAAAGTACTGCTTTCTGAAAGTTCCCTAAGTAACCACAACCCAAACCCAGCTTTCACAGCTGGATTGGTGTGCGATGTCTCCCCTTCTACATGGGCCCTATGCCAAAGGGGAGACACTAAGTTATAAGTGGCTTATTTAGGATCACAGAGAAGGACAGATGTTACAGTCACTGTCTTTATCTGTGATCATCATCCCAGTTTTTAACTACTCTCTTACTAGTCTGCTTTTATTTAAGCAACTATTTAGCTTAAAAAGACATGTTTTTCTTCACCYAGCTGTTTCAACTGTAGCTTACAAACCTCTAGAACTCCAGTGACAATGTCTAGGAGGCTGCTCAGAAATATACTTAGAAAAACATGCTCAGCAGCATCAGATTTGATCTCACTGAATTGGCTCTGCAGCAGCACTGGGCAAGCATTAAAACACTTGCATAGCATAAAAAAAATCAAGGATTGTCAGAAAGTACACAATTACTTCAAAGTAACTTTTTTACCTTTTACTAGATGAGCRAAATCAATTATACAGAAGTCTCAAAACTTTTGAAAGAGTGTTAAAGGCCCAGAAGCAAAGCAAAAAACATGCTGCAATCCTGAAGCTTTTGGCTACTCTTACAGAGTATATTAGCTGTAAACATACCATTCCATTTACATTATTATTATTCCCAGGTATCATGGGCAGTTTGAGATCATCTAAACACAGAGCACACACAAACAGCATTGTCCCACTCTTCCCCAAAGCAACGTCAGGTATTTTGTTCATACAACCTCATACAGGTTGTATGAGGAGATGACTGAGAACTCTTGCCATTAATTTGCAGTTGAATCAGGAAGCACAAACTGTGAAGAAACATTATGTCAAACTCCTTCACAACTTCATTATTCCCGTGGTTTGTGTGTGCTTTACATCATATATACATAGAATATATACATACATACATACAGTATATATTACATTGTATATATATTATATAAAAGAAAAGCCTGAGGAACTAGACCTAGCTATATGTTTTGCTTACAAAAGACTGAAAAAAAAAAAGTTCAGCCGGAGAAAAGTTGAAGACAGTTAATACAGGTGATCAGTACTCTGTTCTTTAGAAAGTTCTTTTTTGTAATTAGAAGATATTGAAAAAAGTAACCACTGTCATCCCTATTCATCACGTTCCATCCATTGCTGTCGCAAAAACATAATTAAACTAAATATTTCCTAATCAAAGTATTTCCTAATCTTTTTTAAACATTTTCTCAATACAAGAGTAAAAAATCTTAGAAATACATGTACCTTTGATACTTATAATCACAGAACAATTTAGCACACTGAATAGTGAACCAAGAACAACTCTATTTTCACAGGACAAACTTCACGGATGCAGTGGGAACACTAGGATTTGATATATTGCATCAGCTTTAAAAATGCAACTAGTTTAATTATGAGACTATTAAAAAATGAAAAATTACCACAGGAAGTAAATTCAGTCTTGTTAATTGTACATAAATAGGCTGGACAAGGAAAAACGCTTTTGTAGGTTCAGTTAGTTTTTTTTTAGGGGACGAACAGCTTCAGAAGGGTTAAGATATAGCCGGTAAATTSCAAACAGGTTGATTCTCTTAAGTAATCTTAAATATATTTATCTGGATCTCACAGAAGAAAAAAGCTCAACAGAAAATGTGATGTATCCAAACTGGTRCTCTAGATCTGAAAGTCATTTACGTTTTATAAGTCAATACATCTATTTGCTGCAGAGTGGCAAGAGAAAAAGATTAATTTCAGTAGCTGAAAGTCATTCTTAGCTGATGTAAGCAGTCTGCTATTTGCCAGGTAATTTCTCCACTTCAGGCTAGCAAACAAAATTTACTTTGTACTTCTTTCCATTGCAAATACTGTCTAACTATTGAAACGTCTCAGTTAGAAAGAAAGTAACTAAAGAATATTGAGGTCGAGGGATAGAATCTCCTAACTTATCTCTTCTCTCTAAAGTAAAATTTAATTACTCTCCTCTTGGATTTTAACATCTCAGTGCAGCTCAGGATCAAATACATCCACAGGGCATTTATGTTAAGAAAAGGTGTGAGTCTAAAGAGCAGGTAAGTTGTTTATCCTTACAACCAGTCATAACCCAGGCAGCAAGGCTTAATATGCTTAACAGTGTGCTTTACTTATAATCACGCTTAAGGGCATGCACAGTATCTATCTATGTACTTACAAAATTCAGCTGGAAAAAGAAAAATCTTTCATTATTTTCCAATTTTTTACACACTGCATATCACTTCAATGCTCGTTAAGGATGTACCACCAAAACGAACAGGAATGCCTAAAAATAAACTCTGTCCAAGTTCCATGTCCAATCACTGAAATATCAGTTTTAGAAATTGTAATTAATCCAACTTAAAACCACTACATTTCGAGTGTGCCTATTAATAACTTTTTAAAAAGCAAAATAGGTAAGAATAAAAGAGCATTGGCAGCTCAGCTTGCCTCTAACCGGCTAATCTGCTAACCCAGCACAATCGCTCTCCAGCAACCTGCTTCCACGAACAGGAAAAYAAACTTACTTGCTCCTACAAACCCAGCCCGGTGCTCGGTCGGTCCAACCAYCGCCAGCAACACCGACACCGGCCGCCAGGCAGGGAACCCCACCGCAATCAACCCCTGAAGGAGAGGGCACTCGGAGGTCTCAGAGTCACGGCTTTTGCCAGCCGGGAGCACAGCCACAGGGAGGCGACGGGCCCCTCCAGCACCGGCCGAGCCCCACCGGCACCCGCTGCTCGCGGCCCCGCACCGGCGCCGCCTCTCTCTGCCCGGCTCGGGCGGCCGCTCCAGCCGCCGCCGCGCTCGCAGGGGGCTCCGCGGCCCCCGCCCGCCCCGCGGCCGCCAGGGAGAGCGGGACGGAGCCGGTCCAAGGCCGCGGCCCACGGCTSTGCTGCGCCCGCCGAGACCGACGCCGCTCCGAGAGGCGGCAAAGGACAGCGACCTACCAGGGAGCCGAGGGCAGCGGGGYACAGGCTCGGCGTTCGGCCCTTCACCTCCGGGCACTGCTTCCCGAGCCGCCCCGCCCCTGCCGCGGGGCTCCGAAGCGGGGCGGGCGGGGCGGTGCTCCGAGGCACAGGGGAAGCGGCGGCAGCCCCGAGCGCCCGCCCCTTTCCACAGCGGCACAGGCGCCCGGGCGGGCAGGATGCGCCGCGCGCCCCTCGCGCGAGTGATTGACAGGGCGCACCGGCCAG